TCAAGGGAAAGTCGCCATGTTTGAAGGGCCGATGATGTATCACTCCCAGTATCCCCATTCGTCATGCGAACGTCAGCGTCCCCTAGTGGCGTGGCGGCGCAACTCTGTCGTCTCTTGCGTGCACTCGCAGACTTAGTTCTATCAGCGCTAACTGGACTGCTTATGGCTTTCGACTTCCGTGTTTTCATTCCGCGCTTTGAACCGATGAAGTTATGTACGGTGTCTCACGTCGACGGAATCTCATTTCAGCAGACTCGGAACAAGCAACAAGCTAGGAGGCAAGGAAATGAAAGTAACCGCGTAGCCTGTAGCGTGCGAGCGCGCAAAGCATGGACAAGCTCTGAATGAAACAGCATTAAACTCTATTATTACAGTGACGTGGTTCATAAACTCCACGATGTCACTCATCTGGGCAGGCTATGGGCATGTTAGGTCAGAGTTCCATCATGGTTGCTTGATTACCCGATGGAAATGATCGACGTTAAAACATTCATTCTTGTTATTTACTGTAGCTCTGAAAAATTGCCAAACTTCGCGTTCAAACTAAGTAACCTATGATAATTTTATACCAAGAGTAATATTGTTTAATTATCACGTCTTGATCCCTTTAAGTCTACCTCGTCGTACCGAAAAACAACTAAACATTTAGCAAGTTTAGGAAGGCTGAAGCTTTGAAACGACTCATTAAATGTTCAAAGAAAAACCAATATAAACGATATATTTAATAGATGAGACGACTACAACCTTAGTTCCTTAGATAAACTAAAAACGACACGACTAAAATCAAAACTAAATATAAACGTGATGATATTAAATGTTTTGTGTACGAGTTTTAATTCGAATCAGAGCTCAGAGACAGAAAGTTTAAATGTCATGTTAAGCTTTGAAGTCACATACAGCAATGCACTTGAAGAATAAAAACGGGTTGGACTAATGTTACATTATAGAAAGCACATAGGTACAAGCTACTACTGTTGAATACCAAGCAGGCGTACACCTAAACAAAGTTGGAGTTAATCAGAGAAAGAGGGCGATAGGCACCTGCTAGATCAGAGAGCGGAAAAGCAGAAGGGACACATGTTGAGCTTTGCTCTTGTTTGAATTCAAGGAACGTATAGGAGCAGGATAAGCAGAACTCTTGATTTCTTCAAAGCGCCACGCCTCTCTCGTTGAGCCTGTTTCGCTCAGGCGATCCAGCGTCAAGCTTCACTGCTTTGCACCGGCGTGTTGGTCGAAACAGCTGACACGGAGGAGCATTTTTTTTTTGCTTCACGACTTTAGACGCTTGCTTGGGTTGGCGAATGTTTTGGTACTTTCCCTACATTTTTAAATATTATAAAAGTTAAGGCATTAGCGTCTATTTGAACATGGGCGCATTTTCGGTATTTTAAAGTATTTTACTTTATATGCATTCTGGAGAGGCAGAAACTCTAGCAGATGTTATCTGTAAACATTTAAGAAGAAAACAGCAAAAAGAGGGCAAACAACTGAAGAAAGCGTCGCTACAAATGATAATTACATAATAATTAAGGCATGACACCTAAAGATAAATCTCTCAACGCAAAATATTTTTTATTATAATGTGCCTATCGGATAGATATACATATTTCATCTAGGCCAAACGAAACTAGCGTCACACATGCCTAATTTAGGATGTATATAATATAAAACGCTAAGCTTAGTGCGGGAAATCGACGTCACGTGACTTGATGTCACGTGACCTATACAAGCAGCCAGTTTCCCCGCTAAATTTAGCGCACAAATATGCGCCACTATAATGCATTTCATCCATTATAGGACTTTGAAGCTAAAGGTCACTGTTAGTTTATTCCCGAAGTAAATATTCTTCGTGTTGACACTACTTTCGGATCCCCCGCAGACGTCGATAGAAACGTATAATACGCCTAATACGATGTGTTTTCTTTTTATTGTTCTACAGACAAAGACCTAAGCTCAACCGAGTTTTTCCGTAAACACTGTAGGGAACAGCCGATTGAAGGTGACGAGTGTACCTCCGGAAAGTTTAACATCCACAGCCTTTGGAGTTATAATAACCGAAGTGGCAAATGCGAGCTTCTCGAGTATACTTGTTGCGGCGGCAACGATACCAAATATGATACTATAATATGATACTATACAAGAATGTCAACAAATGTGCGGCGATTACGCCTATGAGTGAGTGAGGCCTCGATGGTCCTGATGTGGATGACTAAAGATGCCGTTTTCTTGAAAAAGTAATTACTGCTTTATGTCAATAAACTTTCTCATTCATCTTTGCTTTCTTTATGCTCCATTGAATTAATTAATGATATAAATTTGTACCGGTGGAACAGGTGGGATGTTGGTATTATGGTGCAAACCACAAGAAAAAAAAAAACAAAAAAAAAACGCGACGTCGCTGTTATGTGTGTCTTGTTCAGGGGCTCGAAAAACATCCTTAGCTTCCGAGCAACCTCGTCTGAATATATTTTTTTACTTCAAATATCCGCTTTGACTTCTTATGGAGAACAACAATTAATTTTACCTGTTCCCGTAAAAAAAAAGTCATTGTATGTGGCTATATAGATGTTTTATCAGGAAACCGGAAGCATTCAACGCAGCCATTGTAAAAGCAGAGGGCTGAGTAAGGCCGTAATATATGTAGTTTGTATCGTCTTACTTCTAACGTTGAAATATGCCCGATTCATTTGATTTCAAGTTAACCGTGTTTAACGAACGAAAAGTTAGGGCGCAAACAAGCTGGTGAAGGTTTAACATTTTAGACAAACCCCCGAGACTGGGGGGAAAGAAGGACAGGACAACAGGGTCTCGGGGTTTCGTCTAAAATGTTAACCGTGTTTTTTTTTTGTTTTTTTTTTCACTTTTAGCCCTAAAACAGGTTTATCTTTTTCAGTGACATAGATCACTTACCGTCAATGAATACGCACACATAATGGTATCGCGTCTGTGGAAAACATACAGGATTATTTTATTTGCGGTTTTAAAATATTATGCACGAGAATAGCCTGGTCGTGCTTTATTTATTTAAATGCATACAAGGCGAGACAAAAACTCACAGTGTGGATCCTATGAGCCCCCAGTTCACTGTCCCTCTCCCAATGCTGAAGATGACATTCTCTTTAACACATGGATGTGAATAAACTAGCCTAAGAGAACTCAGTGTGTTGATATTTTATTTAATGGACTATATACCATAAAGAAAGTTCGAGGTTCTTAATAATAAAAAAAAAGCAAGTAAAACTATTTTCGATTTGGATTCAGCCGAGAAACCACGCTATTCAACTTCTTGATAAAAACTATCCGGGACACTTCACATAACGTTAGAGAGACCACCGGTTTGGTGGTTCCTAAGGACAGCCTACTCTAGTCTCTTTTTAACTTCTAACAAATACACAAAAGTTTATTGTTAACGTCTGTTAAGGAGCTCTTGTCCATGCTGCTATAGCTTTTTATCACTGGAAATTGAGAAGCTAATCGATGTACGTAATTATTTTCATCACTTTTTCAATTTTGAGTTTGCACGGTACCATTTGAGCCTCTTACCTGAACGAGACATGTTCCATTTCTTTTTAAAATACTGAGCGCCATATTTCTCAGACTTTTCGTCAATATTTTTTTTTAATTATTAGACTTTCGGGGTTATTTTTTTATCGCTTTGATTTGTGCTTTTTATTTATCGTATTTTTAAGTGTGAAGAACTGGGACAATGATATAAAAATTATATTACGAAAAATGCAGAATTTTTGAGAGCTAGGATTTCGCTAGCTAGCGGGCTGGGCAGAATACAAAACCCGAGTTGTGTTGACACTGGGTTGTCCACCATGACAACGTTCGTTCTTACACCGCGCTAAATGTTCAGCAGTTTTTTTGACAAAAAAGCGGCCTGACATCCGCATCTTACCCTACTTAGTCACCCGATCTAGTCCGGTGTGATTTTTTTTTTTTTTTTTTTTGGTTTTGATTAGCGGAATAAAAAAACGTTATCAAAGAGAAAATTTTAGCCGATGTGGAAGAGGTGAAACAAAAAGCAGCAGAAGCGCCGAAAGGCATAAAAATCTTCGAGTTTAAAGGCTATTTTGAGCATTGCAAGAAACAGTCTTCATAAGGGGATTGCATTAGGCCGAAAGTACTTTGAAACTTTGAAGGTGACTGAAATCTGAACATGCAAAAATATATACACGATTTTGTAAAATTACATTCTAATTTGTTTTAAATCCCCCCCCCCCCCCCCCCCCCCCCCCCCCCCCCCCCCCCCGGATCTCGCACAGATCATGTCAACACCCGTTCCACGCACTGCACCTTTCTCGTTCCTGCCCGTTCGGATTTATGCGGTACGTCGTACCCTCGTGCGGTCATGTAATCAATACTGTGTGATGCCCGTCGGAACTCCAAGATTAGCAGTTGTGCTCCAATGGCTCAATTGCTCCTCAACAGCGTTGAATCAGCGTCGCCATATTCCACACTCCTAGAAATGTGAAGCGTCAACTTTCCAGCACATCACACGGACAGGGAGCTAAACGAATATCGAAACTGCTTCATTTTTGTTTCTCTAATTATATTGTCAGCCTCTTTATTCCACCCGCCCCGCCCCCTCTCCCCTAGGTAGATTGCAACGATTGACACTCTCGAATGCTTTGCTGGAGAGCAAACAAGCAGACGCTCTATATTTTTTTAAAGTGCAAGGACAAACTAAACTCGCGCCGTGTAAACATCCCTACAAAAAAAAAAAAAAAAAAAAAAACTTGTTAAAAAAAAGTTTGGGTCAAAAAGGAACACCGCTTTTCTTTTCTTGTGTTTAACGATCATAAACTCGCTCAACTTACCACACCACTGTGTAAACATTCCCAAAGTACAGTTTACATTTATTCTGGAAGAAAAACAAACCCACAGGCATACATACTTGCTTTTGCCTGTCGTTACCGATATAAAGGCATAGAACAATGAAAGAGAGTGAATCGTGTACTCGCTCGGGGCGAATTTGACACCGACTCAACTTTTACCTAAGAAAACATCGCTTGCATTGTAGTAGTCCTTTGCCTGGACGAGACGGTATCCCTCGGCGTAGCCTTCCTCGGCGCTTTTGCCTTCGCAGCCGTGTTCAGGCAACATGTCCTTGCACGACTCTTCGTCTGCTCCGTCGGGGTGACCCTCGCAGACCCCGAGAAGCAGCAGAAGCAGCAGCAGGGCTGATAATGTCACCGTTGGGGATGCCATTTTGCTTCTGAAAATCGTTTTATGAGAAAGAGATCGAACCACGTGGAGGTAAAATTACGAGAAAGCGGAACACCGTAATCGGGTAGAGCGAGAAGCGGTGATGGTTGGTTGGTGTTGTCACAATATGTCTGAACAACCACGGTGGCTATAATGACAAGCAGAATATGTCACTATAGTCATTATATTGACATAGTGACTATGTCATTATCGTCACCGTGTCCGTTGTGACGCATATTCTGAAAATGGCAACCAATGGAAGTATCACTGCTTTTCGCTAGGAAGCCATACAGACAAGCAAGGAAGAAATGATCATATGCATGTCAGTTACGAATGCTCAGCAGTGTTTTTTTTTTGCTTGAATGTAACTAAAACTTTAAAAAAGTCTTTTTTTGAAAATGTCGATGTTTGGGAAGAAGCAGAATAACTTGAGTTTACTCAGACGAACGAAAAACTGTCTACGTAATGTTGGCAAGTAGTTTTAAAAGCCAATAACTTCATTTTGCTTCACTATATGCGTAAAAAGATATATTTTCAGCAGTGAGGCCATGACTGCTTTGGCACATTAAACCCTCAAAAGAATTTGCGTGAGCAAACGCTAAAAAGTGCTGTCAAAAAAAAAAAAAAAATAGAAAAAAAGACACTATTCGTTGCAGCAACAAAACGTTCTGACGACCTGAGAAATATTTATCCTTACTTCTTTTTTACTAGCACGTTAACTTATTAAAAGATGCCTGCACCCCAAAAAACGTCGCTGAAGAGGTGTTCAATAGCAAACATTGTTTAGTCAAAATTTGGTTCTTGTCTGGCAAGTTATGGCTTGAAAACCCCTAAATACCTAAGGTATAAACAAACTTGATATTCTTTGGCCGGAGTCTGCAAGAATTGAGGTCCTAAATTTCCAAACAAGTACCAGAGTTAGGATTCACAGCCTGGTAGTTCAGTTGTCACCTGGGCCGGCTTGCTAGAATCAGCGTCTTAGTTTACAACTGTGTAAAACTAAGCCTCACGTGCCTCTACGCTAAAGTGCTAGCCTGCGGCAGTGCTTTCTTTCCTACGGTCTCAGCTAAGACGCTATTTATAGCAAGCACCACTGGCTTTTTTTGGGGCGTATGTTTCCGAGAAATTGTCAGAAATAGGCTTCACATCTGGCTTTTTGGTTTTTACCTGACAGCCTTGAGCCTAAATTGTGAAACAAGTGCCAGAAAGAGACTTCACCGCTGGTTCTTCGGTTGATAAGTTGCCCCTCTGGCTTCCCTCTTGCACTTGGGCAAATATGTGGTAAAAAAAAGCAATAGCAAAGCCTAAGAAACACGCTTTGGCACTGACTAACGCCGTGACGCGAAACCTTATTAGTTCCAATTTAAGCGCCTATAGCTGGGATCTCAAACTCATTTGAGTAGACTGAAGGGATCTCACGCTCTTGCTTGTGACATCTCTGGGTTTGATTCGTTTTGAGGACTACTTTCGGCTCTTACCTGATGTGATAACAAGAATTAAAATGACACCGCTTCGCCACCATATTGCAATTATTTTTATTGAACAAAAGAGTACGTTCATAAAGTTCATATCATTGTCACGAAGGAATAGAGATTCAGCAATCAAACTCGAGTAGGAGTTGAGACTTTCTCTACGTGTTCGCCATCAAAAGTTACCCACTTTTTCGAGCGATGGGCCACATGCCGGAGGCCATTGTTATAGAACTCCACGTTTTGAGTGTTCAGAAATCGCTCCACTTCAGCTAGCACTTGGTCGTCGTCTTTGAAATGCTTTCCTCTTATTTGACCACGCTGGAAGCGTCTGCGCCATTCAACCACAGTGTCATAAACTGGGGCATTGTCCCCTAACAACGCTCCCAGATTGGAATGAAAATCCTTGGCATTGCTTCCCTTCAAGTGGAAAAAAAACGGATCACTGTATGTGCTTGGCACCGACGGGTGGTGCCATTTTTGTTTCGACTCCCCAGCGGCGTTCCGCGCTATACTATAGCATGCAATGTTTAAGTGTGCGGAAACTAGAGGGACGCGCGGTCATGTTGAGGCCTGTTTTGTTCCGTTTTTTTTTTCTTCAATTTTTTGTGCCGCTAATACGAACTTTATGAACACCCCTCGCAGTTCTTGTTACCCAATTCACTCGGAAATTATTCAAACGTATTATTCATATACGACAGATATTGTAAACGACTTATTTTTCGTGGGCTCAATATATTCGCGAATTAGGTCAAAGCTAAAGTTTTGGAATAATTCGCGGTTTCTACTTTTCGCGACGCGGTGGGATCTCAATATAGATTCCAATGTGCTCATATTTTACCGGAATTGTTCGCGGGACTTATTTTTTCGCGAATGGTAGGCGATTCGCTAAATTCTCGCACATTACGTCCTTGCAAAAATTAAGTCGGATACAGTATTGTTTTTCTGACTATTTAATGGAGGCAGTTTGATAAAATACATTAATTATGGTGATGTTCTTGAAGGCGAGAATTCCAAGCTCATGGCTTTATACATAATGACAAATACACAGCGCAAAAGGACGAAAAGGGAAGAGACACACCGGATAGAACAGAGCGCTGACTCGCAACTAGATATTTTAATAGAATCTATCTATTCTATCTGTTCTATCCGGTGTGTCTGTTCCCTTTTCGTCCTTCTGCGCTGTGTATTTGTCATTATGTATAACCAAAACCAACTAGCCCAACTTTCTACTTTATTACAGTTCATGGCTTTATCTTCGGCAGTCGCTCCTGCTGCTCGAGAGTTCATGCAGCTGAGGTGAAAAAAGGTGGGAAGCAAAAATTCAAATGAAACAATGTGATTATGTTATGAGAGAAGAGCTACTTATGGAGCAGAAATGAATCGGTGGGAACAGACATAGCCTCTTCTACACTCGCAAAGCCTGGCAGTTCGACAACGGAGCCATAGAGTGCCCGGTCGCAGAATCTGAGCTCGAGGATCTGGTAGCACACAGCATTTCTCGGGGAGCCTGTACTCAGCGCACAGCTTTTGCAACGGCGAGGACCCGAAACATGGTTTTCAAACCCGACGAGAAAAGAAACGGTAGCCGGAGGAACGCAAGGAGCACGAGCGGACACACCATCGCTCGGGACAAGTGTGTTTCGGCGTCTCGCCGCAGCGCGGCGCCCGTTACATGCTTCTCCTCTCATCCGTTGTCTGCCGCTCTACCTTTTCCCTTTCGGAGGCCGCGTCTCGGGGCGATCTGCCTGGAGGCTATACATGAGATTATTATGGCGCGCGCCATTTCTAGCGCTCGAGACCTAGGAACAAATTTGTTTGGCTCGCAGCCGGTTTCTTGCGGGGAGAAAGAGAGAGGAAAGGGGGAAGGAGAGTCTTAGGTGAACACGCTTCAGTAAACCACGTGCTGCTTCCAGATTTGCTTAGGCACTTAAAAAAATAATGATGTCGACGGGACGACCCAGGAGCTTGTGTCCAGAAAACGAGTTTCTACAAAACTCCAGTGTCGACGAAACGTGCGCTCACAAAGAAGTTTTTCACGAAACGTATTTCAAGGAAACAATACCTTGTCTAGGAGGAAAGTTTGCGCGTTTACGTTTCTGAGGTGCACACAGAGAGCAATCACGATGTTTATTTGTAGGCTGGACGACTGCGTATAATGCAGCAGGTAACTGGACCCTAAACACCGCTTTGGTGCGACTAAGATTAAGCATTAAGCATACCGTGTTGCTAAGACTGGATGAAGCTTCAACGTAACATACGTCACTAAATAGGTGTGTTTGTGGTTGTTGTACACTTGCCAAGTATACGCGTGACAGCTTTAATAGAATGGCGTTAGGTCATCCTCAGCCCTTATGTGCAAGCTCGGGACGTCTGTGGGGTAGCAATAATTGAAATGAAACAAGCGGATGCATACAAGCCATTACACCAATCGGCTTAAAATAAATTAATCAAGTTGGTTAATCTTTTTTTAAATATTTTTATTTGCAGCCTCTGTATCAAAAGCGCCACCTTAAAATGTATATATTATTATCCAGGTCCTAATAACTAAACCATTCTAGTGAAATGTGACAATAGTGGTTTATGAACGAAGTGTTTAGATGTTATTTGTTCTCTCGTGCAATTCAAAACTAGAATAAGCTAACAAACGAGATCATCAGGATAACTTGTCTTAATCATCTTGTAATGAATGTGTGCATATAAGCTATCCAGGTAATATTAAGTTGGTGTGATAGCGCATTTATATTCAGGCGACTTTTTAAACACTTCTTCCATGGTTCCTTTAAAAAAAGATAGGAGTATTCGCAAATAAATAAATAAGCTATGAACAGAATCGTACATAACGACAGTAAGACACTAGATATAATACTATATAAGAACAAGTACGCATTATCTCTCTCAAAAGATCTCACCTCGCAGAGCTGTAAAACCAACGTCGTACGGAAGTTTGCAGCAGGCAGTATGGCACTGTTGCGTTCATATTCTCCACGGTGTGGGGGCAACGATAAGAGCGCGATTCTTATCTCATAACGCCTCATGGAGGGCGTATTATCTGATGCTATACTGTCGTCACGCTCCTTTTCAGTAGCACATCTTCTGTGTAACGGAATAAAGCGCTTGATTGATCAAATTCAGAATGTGGTCTTCCCAATCCCAAGCATTTGTTTTTGTTGTTTTGTTAAGGGTATGAGTGCCTTGAAGCGTGTCTCGCACGTAGAAGCTGCAATTATAACTTCTTCCGACATTGTAATCTCAAGCTCTTCAAATGATAATTGGTCAGTAACATCCGATTCCAGATTCGGGGGGTGCGATAATTTCCCTTTTGTTCTCTATTTTGTTATCTCGGTCCTTATCAAAGTACCCAAGCCATCTGTATACGCGAGTTGTTTAAACGCATGAGCTTTTTTTTTTTTTTTACATAAAATAATCTAATTTAAAGAAGATTCAGGGTGCAGGTGAGCTGGTGAATATTAGGCAACATAATAAAACCGTAGCCACGGATACAAAAACATACAAGACGTATACACAACACTGTCATGTATGTACGTCCTTTTTGTTTCTGTGTCTACGGTTTTATTATGTTGCCTAGAACTAACTCGTAAGTCGTCTTGTGTACACTGTTTGAACATACATGTTCAGGCAATACACCGAAATAAATTAAGTTTAATGTACCATTACATTGGGGATTTGAATCGTTTTATATGACAGGTACATTTTCTAAGATATGAAGATGAATGAACAGTAATTGAAAGAATGGTACAAAGGTTACAATTACAAAGTAGCCTAAATACAAAACATTTGGCGCGTTGGGATTCGTACTCCGGGTCTCCCAACCTCTGGTCGGGCGTGCTAACCAGTGACCTGATATTGGGCGTCACAGAGTTCGAATACCGGCACCGCAAAAAGGTTGTGTCTTACGGCGGCTTTGTAACTCACGTTCCGTTCGATCAATACTGTTAATTCATCTGCCTATTTTCGAATAATTTGTGATTAGAGACCGCGTAAGATAATGAAAGTGCCCCGTGATATGCTACATGCACAATTGAGCTTAAAATTAAGTTACAGTTGCGGTTCTAGCCAAGTTACAGCTAAAGTTACAGCTATTCAATTTAAATATTTTCTGAACTTGAGTTTATGGTAAACAAGCTTACAGTAACTGCATCGCTTTCTGGCCAACCAATACCGCAAAAAAACTATGCTGGCTGGTAAAATAGCATGTAAACTGCGCAAATAAAAACAAAACAAAAAACACGGGGCTGCTTTTTGCGTTGCTGCAAACTGAATAAAAATGTGATAATTTCTTGTCTTCTATGAAGGCTACATTTCGCTGATTACTATCGAACCCTATAGTGGGTAACTATGCACCAGGTGTCCACTCTATGTTTACCGATACTAAAGCCCCTAGATAAGAGCTTCCTACAAGTAGCGACATTCTTTGAAGCGCCGACTGCGTGACGGGGCAGGTTTTTAGGAAGCGAATGGCGGCGCACAACAGAGGTTTGAACTGAATGACGCCATTTCGTTCCAGAGGAATATGCTCTGTCATTCGTCTTGGTTGTTGTTACTTGTAAAATAAGTATCAAGGGACTGTAAGCCGAAACGTTTCGCTCTCCCTCTCTTTCTCTCTCTCCCTCCCGGAGTCTTTTTAGCACGTCGAGCACGGTCATATTCAACACGTCACCGCTTCTGTTCACCAATCTCCTCTTCAGCACGCTCGATCGTTTCGCGAGGCAATCTGAAGCACGTGGCACCCCGAGACCCGCGCCTGCGAGCGGTAAGACTCTCCCGCGATCCACGCTAGCGCGCAGTAAGGAGAAAACATTGGCACATCATGTGCCTCACTCTCCCTCGTATACGCACGCGTTTTGATGTGACGACAGGAATTTTCCGAGGGGGCGGTGGGTTACTTATAGCATCCTCGATTATCCACACCGGTGCGCACAGAGGAAGCGAGGTGCGCCCCGTTATCTTCTTTTCAGTTGTACTGATGCGCGCCGGACGTCCTCTTTAAACGGAGCACACCCTCACGGTGTGCCCCTTCGTTGCCCTAACGCGCACCAAGAGAATCAACGGTGCCCCGGGGTGCAGTCCTATCAGGCATTGCGGCCTGGAGCGAGAATCGAGGAGATAGCTAGAAGACGCGCAATCCATCGAGATGGGGACCTTGCGAAAACGAGCAGTCTTTGCCGCGGCACTCGATAAATTCTTCAGGTTTTCTGACAGCGAGGCTTCGTACCATACCCGGGATTATCGCTGATTGCTGTGCTGGCAAGGAGCGCACGAAAGTTATGAACTTCGTGAATAACGTTTTGTGAGGCGTTTTGATGACACCGAGGGTGCGGCTATTATCTGGTGGTACTATTTCTTGAACCAACAATAATGGGCAAAATATGCCCGTTGAATTGTGACCCGCTTCGTGAACCCATCCAAAGTCACGTCCACGGTGTTCATTTGTGTAGGACCGCTAAATTAGCGAGTAAAAAACCAGAAGAAACGACAGCAGACGGGCACCGCACGCGGACGAACGCGAGAAAAAACGAACAAAACGCGAGGTGACACATCGTGCGCGCTCGTCGCGGTACACTTGCGCGGCAATGTTTGTCTTCAGTGTTACACCGACGTCGCGCTGCACCGCTGAGGGTCGCTGTGCACTGTCTTGGTTTCAGGGCAATTCCGGTGCGAGTTGATCGAATACGCTATGAAAGAAATGTCTAACTACTGTTTGAGGAGCGTGTTTTTTTTTTTTTTTTTGTTGTTGGAGGGTTTGAATGGGGGTGAGGGGGGGAAGGGGGGGTCGGGAGTTTGGGTCACGAGCAGTGTGCGGTGGAGCAACGATGGCTAACCAGCTTACCTGTCGTGAGGCAGCAGCTGGTTCGGTGGTAATTGTCGTTGCGTAGGAGGCAAAAGGCTCAAGAATAGTTGTTGTTTCCACCGCTGTGGGGTGATGGTTTGTTCCCAGACCCGAAGAGGCTGAGGCAGTGGTCGCAGCTTCTTGCGGAAGTCCTTGCTGGCCGTGGAAGGTTGGGAGGGGGGGGGGGGGGGGGGGGGGGGGGGGGGGGCAGGCCGCAGAGCTGGCACTTTGGGGTTGCAGTCGTGGTCGGGTGGGTTTTTTCTTGTGTGTCACTGCGCGGACACTGTCGTGTCAGGATTTAGGCAGATGTCCTGCCTGTGTCCGAGCTCCTAACAAAGGGAGCAGCACTGCACTAGCTGTCTGTTGGTATGGTTGCCAGCGAGTGAAACGTCCGTACGCCTTGATATAGAATGGTAGGTGGATACCAGGGATGGGCAGTATTTCAAATACAAGTATTTGAAATACGTATTTCAAATACTTTGTGTATTTTGCATTTGTATTTAATTACAAATTGGGTAACGTATTTGACGTGTGTATTTAAATACTAAAATGTGGGTATTTCAAGTACAATTGTAAATAAATACAATTTTGTGGGCAAAAATACATCCCTCAAATTTATTGTCACTGTCCAGGGCAGGAAGAAAACTACGTTCTGCACCGAATGCAGTGTCTCTCAATCAAGCACAAGCATTTAGTGACTTTGTGATTACGGTGCTAGTCCAGGGCTAGAATAGTGACCAAATCGACGTTCACAGGCACACTGGCTAAATAAGTGCCTGTGACAACTAGTGGTGCTTTCCAGCCTGATTTCCATCCATATTTTTGCCTGGAACATTCTAAATGCACGGGTCGTCCAGATTTTCGTAACTGGTGCGATTTCTAACAATAAAAAATTCTCTAGCTAGTGATGCGCGTCTTGGTCGTCTTGGTTCTTTGTTGGTCTATACCAAAAAGTTATCGACAAAAAAAGCTGCTTGAAGCTCTTTACTTTTTTCACCTATTACGTCCAAGCTGATTGAATTTTTTGGCGATTATATTTCTATTACCTTACTATCGCACACTTACTCCCGAGTGTGCGATGCAAAATTAAAATAAGATACCCAGAAACCCGTTACAGCTGCCGTGAAGTCGCTGACGCAAATTTTGAGGAATGTATTTGGAAAAGTATTTGTAGGAGACCAAATACATTTGGCTGTATTTGTATCTTGTACTTAAATGCTTTTTTGGAAATGTAATTAGATTTGTAATTAAATACATTTTTTGACGAAGTATTTTGTATTTGTATTTCGATACATATTTGCATGTATTTTGCCCATCCCTGGTGGATACCTTAGAAGGTGACCACTGCCGATGTGGAGTTGCCTAGCATGCGGGAATCTGGCAGCCAACGGCTCACGCAAATGTACGCGAGCCGTTGGCTGCCAGGATTTGGGGGAGTTGGTGGTCAGGGATAGTGCCCTGGTTCATGTCAGTGGTATTGTTTCTGGGAGCGGATTGAGATAAGGTAGAACTTCATGGATCGTTGCCCCCAGTTTAATCGTGAAAATTTCGCTCAAAGCGAAAGCGCTGTTTTCGTCGAGCATGCTCGCGACGATAAGATTTTGCGGGGCTTGAACTTGCACAGTGACTCGAGCGTTCGGGTATTTTTCTTGCCTGAATTGTAAGCTCTGAGTGTGTTGGCGGTCATTCCAGACAGCTACTCGTAGTCCAGTTCGTGCCCGAAAGACGACCTTGTGGTCTGTGTTGGGTAGTCGGGGTGTTGGCGTGCCGCGTAGAAGGCGCGTAGGTTGGCTGGCGTGCGTGACACTGAGGGCCGATGCAGGTTTGTTGGTGGGTCCTTGAGATTGCGGCGCTCGCGTAGGATGTGCTGCCAGAGGCCGGGCGGTGGTAGGATCCGGCCACTACGGGTGTTGAACTACATGGCATTGTGGGCGGAATTGGTAATGACGAGGGCTTGGGCTTGGGGTATGAGCCGGGAGCCCCAGTGGAGAGCCGGCGGCCAGGCCGAACGGGGTTAGGCTTAGCGGAGGCTGTCGGCGTGGCCGGTCTCCGGATGGCGTAGAAGCGTAGAACTCTGGGCGAGTTGTTGATGCATTAGAACGTGAA